GCTCCCCTAACAACTGAAAGAATACACAGGCGGCAAAGCAGCGGCCGACAAAACGACGTGCACGCTAGTGAGCGTCGTTCCTGGTGAAGACCCGGAAGAGTGGCTGGAGAAGCTGGAGCGCATCCGCATCTTTAACAGGTGGGATGACGAAGAAACGTTTCGTCATGTCTTCTTCTATTTGGAGGATGCAGCTCGAACGTGGTTTGAGAACCATGAAGGCTCCCTAACCGACTGGACTGTCTTTAAGAGCGAATTGCTCAAAACATTCGCTACGGTTGTGCGGAAAGAGAACGAGCCGCCCGTTTGTTGGAGACGTGAATGCAACACCCTAACGAAGGTGTTGTACTGTTCGCTGAGGATATGAAGATGCTGTTTTGGAGAGCTGACCCCGAAATGGCAGAAGAGAAGAAGGTGCGCTTTCTGATGCGGGGAGTTAAACAAGAGCTCTTCGCTGGACTCATCCGCAACCCCCCTAAGACCGTCGCTGAGTTCGTCACCGAGGCTTCGATTATCGAGAGGACCTTGGATATGCGTTCGCGGCAATATCATTTGTGTTAGCCAAGTCCTGGCTATTGATACAGAGCGCACGCCTGCTTAATAGGCTCGAATGCGCATTGCTGTTGTGCCGCAGGGACAACACCTCCGATAAAAACAGCTGGCACGCCCGTAACGGCAGCGTGATGGTCCGGTGGCATGCCGCCACGCGACACGACGTCACTAAGTGAATGCACGTGTGAGACACAAAAGCACCACACGACAACGATGTTACGCTTGGGAAACTTGTAGTGACCGTCCGTGTCAAGTAAGAAAGGCTGCACCACACGAACGAGATCAGAGGTCGACGTCAGCAGGAGGCTGGCGAACACGCAATTTCCTTATTCGAACGGCACAAGTGGGCAGAGCCAATCGGCCACGACTCGGGCGCAGTTTGGCCCGGAGGCGTACGTGCATGCGTTCCCAAGACGGCGTCGCCGCGGTCCTTTCTTTGTTTCTATACCGCGCTTTGGAGCTGCGTCCGGTGATGCAATCGTGGAGCGATATTGCAAACCCTGGCTGAACGTCGGGTCCACCTGATCTGGCGTTTTGTGTACACAGACCTCAGTCACCCGACAAGTAAGTTTTCCTTTGCTGTATGAGCCGCCGCGATGCTCTAGCGTCCTGAGGTGGAAAGCCGAGTCTCAACTTCCCTCATGTTTCTTTCTTCAAGTTTGCATGTGTATATATGCACGAACACACACGAGCGTACGCACGGAGACACGTGAAGTATGGTTGAACGTATACGTCACTGGGTTATGGTGTTTTACTGCTGGCTCGAATGGTCACCCGATCGTATCCGGGCAACAAATAGATGGAGGCGACATTTTAGATGTTCTTGTGCTTCCAATAGGTGTACGTCAAAGAAAACCAGGTTGTCTGAATTTCCAGAGCCCTTTACTATACCGCTTCTCCCAAAATTATGCAGTTTAGAAAGAAGCCGTAGTTATTCGTGGTTATTATGCAGTTTTAGAACATAAAACACCAGCAATTTTATTTATTTTTTCTGGCCTTGTGTTTTATACGAAAGTGTACAATTCACTGATAAGGTGTTAGCTGGTTTTCTATAGAACGAGCAAGCGTGACATAGGCACGACTTTGCCGTGAGCCCAGAATATGCAATAGTTCTACTTCCAAACACGAGTCCCGTTCAAGGTGTAAAGCCGGCTTCAGAGACCGTATCTCTGATGCGCATCACCCGCATTCACACAGAACATGTTTCTGGCTTTCTGGGACATTACATCAGCTTCTTTGTTTTCCTTTTTATGAACTGGCAGCTTCATTATTGAATACGCTTTTCCGCTGACGCAAAGTGTGTGTTTTATCATTTATGTAATTATACTAAGATTAACGAATTGTTTGGGGAGATTTAGGAACTAACGCGGACTTCTGATTTTGAGTGCTGCCTCAAGCCTATACGTTGTACGTTCCCGTAGTACACTCCCAACAAACTAAATTTTATTTCGCGTGATTACGCCGTCGCAGGTATGGTGTGGTTATACGACGACATGGCAACAACGCGAAAAGACGGCGGGAGAGAAGGTACTTAGACAATTGAAAGATGTGTGGCGAAGGCGACGAGGAAACGGGGAGTACCGATTGAACACACGCAATCGCTGCGTTTTGTTGGCGCTCAGGCATAAACTTCCCTCTTATTTACGAACGTTTCATTCGTCTCCCAAATCCATCACCAATGTTTAGGCTAGTGGCACGGCGTCATTATGTGTTTTTTAATGCTGGATATCTTTCAACGCTTTTTTAGTACTCAAACGGGGAAATATTTCAGAGCACACCGTAGTATTCCCGCAGTAAGTTTAAAATTCGCCTCCGCACACTCAACAAAAGTATAGCAATCAGCAGAATTTCAAGCGGCATGGGCATTTTATATCACGAATAGCATGCCTTGACTAGTTAATAGCGTGCCCTGACTCACAATAACATGTACCAGCCACAGTGGGGCTCTGATTGTGACATTTTTCTTCTACGCACAAGGCTATATTACCTACCAGTATGTTCGCATGCCGATGAAGGAAGAAGAATATCAGCTGCAGTTGATGTACATAAATTATTTCTATCATACAATTTTTTGCTTAGTCTATTCTTAAGGACTTAAGTCCACGTCCAATAAAAGTGGATGAGATCGATATCTGTACACCCAAACTGCAAAACCTACTTCACAGCCCTGTAAGCGTTCATTTGAGACGTTGAGCCCCGTGAATAGCATAGTACTAGGGAGTTCGGCTCAGCAAAAATTTTGTTGAGTCTGAATTCGAGTGAGTCCAAAGGACAATATGTATTTCTTGAGTTAGTCTGAGTAAGTTATATTTTCTTTTTCCGACCTAAGTTCCTATCTAGTTATCTTCAGCAATACTATCAGCCTAACCTGGATTCACATTTATACTCATGTCTACTGCAACAGGTATTCCAAAGCAGATTGATTGATTGATATGTGGGATTTAACATCCCAAAACAACCATATGATTATGAGAGACGTCGTAGTGAAGGGCTCCGGAAATTTCGACCACCTGGGGTACTTTAACGTGCACCCAAATCTGAAAACACGGGCCTACAACATTTCCGCCTCCATCGGAAATCCAGCCGCCGACGCCGGGATTCAATCCCGCGACCTGCGGGTCAGCAGCCGAGTATACCTTAGCCACTAGACCACCACAGCGGGGCATGTTCCAAAGCAGTGTCGTTTCTACGTCATTTCAATGTTTATTGAAATGATGAAGGAAGAAATGTAGGGAATGATGTAGAGATGTGAATTGTGTAGGGGGGGGGGGGGTGCCTTGGCTTCTCTCTACTAACTCTTCCAGAAAATTTCTTGATAATTATATTTTACGATGTCATATCTTCAAACAAAATGATCGTACTTGTTCGGTAGCACTCAGAACTCGGTTTTCGCAGATGCTATGTCAAACTGCACCAAGAACAGCACTCACTGCGTGAGATAATAATGTAAAAAGGCATTGACACTACGATCAAACAAGCTAACTCTAAGCTTACAGGCTCGTGAGTCGACTCGCTCGGACTTACTCAGGCTCGGATCAAGCCGCGAGTCTGAGTGAGTGAGTCCGGGTGAGTCTGAGTCCAGCTAAGCAAATTTTCGTGAGCCTGGGCCCGAGTGAGATCAAATTTCAAAATTTATTTCATGAGTGAGTCTGGGTGGCCTTCACAAGTTCTGCCGACCTATGGTGAATAGAGTGAGCTGCAGTGTCAGCCACCTACTAACCGGCGCGCTTTAGCGTAGTCTAAAACTTCACTGGAACAGTCGTCTTCATCAGTCAGACACATCGAGGAAGCTGCAAGTTAAACAGCACCTGTGCCGCCGTGACGCAACTAAAGCTGTCGCCTGTGGTAAGTAGCCTGTGGTAAGCCGCCTGTGGTAAGCCGCCTGTGGTAAGCCGCCTGTGGTAAGCCACCTGTGGTAAGCCACTTATGGTAAGCCACCTGTGGTAAGCCACCTGTGGTAAACCGGCTGTGGTACACCTTCTCGAAGCCGTACTCTTTTCGCATAGCAATGGCAAACACATCCAGATGTGACTAGTTTAACAGCGACCACACATTAGAACACAGTGTGTTTTTGTGACTGCTTTGTCGCCGTAAGCAACTTTCTACGCGACGAGTTGAACAAATTAAACAATATACATTTTTCGGAAGAAAATATTCTCGGTTCTCTACGCGTCGCAGGCCAGCAGAACGATGCGCGAATAGACACCCTGCCTTTTTTTTCCTCCTCCTTAATGGCTCAGCCGTCCACTTAAGCTGACATGAATACATATCATTCGCGAGATAGTTAAACACATCACTAATAAGTACAAAAAACCACCGTGATCTCATGCTTCCGCCAGTTTGCTTTGACTTACTGATAATGTTATTACACCATTTCGCTAAAAAAAGAGTTGCAATGTTCGTTCATGTATTAAGGTCCGATGGCTACATAATAAACATCGCATTTAAACTGTATCTGGTCTGCCAGGGATTCAGCGAGATCACCTACAAGAGCTTCTTCAGAAGACTCCATACGCGGTAACCATGTGCCACCATTTCACTCAGGAGAACTAGAACACCTTATGACATATGCGCGGTGACCTCGTTTCCCGGTACAAACCTTTGACATTTGAACTTGCACACAAAGATCTATCGGTGATGGAATGCCTTTCAGGAACTCTGTTCTTTCCCACTCTCTATTTATTGATAAGTATAGGCAGCGCTCTTCGGTGAACGGCATGTTTAGAGACCGGGCTGCCCATATCTATAGACCTAGACAGAGCGATCTTTTGTTGACTCTAACGCGGCTTTCGGCGACCACCTCTCTCGGGCAACTTCTAGGAGAAGCAGAAAGAGCTCCGCAGATCTCAAGTGGTTCGCTCCTTCTGAGCTAATCTCAGCGAGCTCGCTGTAATCGTCCAGATACGAGCGCTGCGATGGCCTACGCGTCAATATACGAACGATAACGGACCCGGAGCACAGCACAGCTAAACTCTGTTTACGATGCGAGTCGCGAAGTCACTGCGGCACCCTTTTCGCGATCGCGAATGAATGTCACCGAGACGCATCTTACACTTGGCGGTGGCAAGTATGCATTATTTTTCTCGCACTCGGTACATGCGCTGTTGATGCATCTGTGTTTCCAGGTCGCGTCATACATTGGCGCCCCAGAGATGCCCTTAAAGCTGTAGCTACAGCGTCGGTGCAAGGAAGGGAAGAGCTGCCTTTCTGAACCTTCAAACCTCTTAGAGTCGTTCACGAATCAGTGACCTTGTTCTTTCCATTTTGTTTTCTTTTCTCTCACCTTCACACTCGCTCTGCGCAAAACAAGAATATTTTCGCACGTGTTAGTCGCACGTGTACGAGACGCAAGCTCAACGCTCAATTCCCTCCTTCTGTTCGGCTCATGTTTTTCAGTAAAGGCTCGCTTTTGGAAGCTCCCTGCAACTAATCAAAGGGTTATCTAAAACATCCCGTCCTCCCGTTAATGTCATCTTTCGCAGCTTTAGGCGCCTTCCGAGTTCAAATGGCTTATCTGTTTCTAGCCCTTCCGAACACCTCCTGCGAATGGTACCGCCGCAACACGGCGACTCCACACAAGCCGCTGTCTCCCGCAGGCCTCTTCCAAGAGTGCCGCCCCTTGAGTGCACACTTCTCTGGCGCCGCTGTTGCCACAGGGTGTGACACCACGAAATAAGAAATTTCCGGGCTGAAAATTGTGTTCCTCTTCGACATCCCGGGGTGGCCCTCGTGTTTGACACCGAGCTTAGCTCCGGTGGACCATGGAATTCGAAGACGTCATCGACAAGCTCGGAGGCTACGGCCGGTTCCAGCGGCTACTCGTCTGGGTCTACCTGGCACCGGCGTCCCTCTTGATGCCGGGCTACTTCATGAACCAGATCTTCATGCTATCCGTGCCCAAACACTCTTGCGTGCTACCCGACCTGGCAGTGACGTTCAACTTGACGGACGCCCCCGAGCCGGATATCCTTCGCAAGTTCCTGGTCACGGACGACGAGTGCAGCATGTACGCCCTGGACTCCATCAACGAGAGCCTGGCGCGGGGTCTCCTCTCGGTGGCGAGCGCTGTTGACGCCGGCGCTAACGTCACCCGTTTGCTTCATGGTGTGGAAAAAATGGCCTGCACGGAGTTTGCCTATGACGACACCAACTACGAAAGCACGGCATCCACGCAGGTAAGGCTCATCAAATTTCCTATACGGCATTCGACAAGCTCAATCTTTCGAACACAACGCTTCGTACGCAATAGGTGGATAGCAAATAGGCGCGTCGTCTGCTACAGTACTTTCAGTTCGCTGCTTTCAGTACTTTCGCTGCTTCAAGTGCCAGTTGCGCAGTGTAATCGGGGAGAAAACATTTCCAATTCTGTGACACATTTGGTGCCGCTTGTTTCGGGATCGTGCCCTTCAATTCTTTTTTGCGAATGAATGAATCATATTTGGCGCATTTCAGGGAACAAAGCGAGGCGTGAGAATGGGAAACGATGAGGAACGTTGAGAGGCAAGTGTCGAGCACAGAATGCGGTTATCCTTTGATACATCCAGTAATCTTTTGCAGAGTCACCTCAATTTAGTATTTTCGAGCACATACGCATATGGTGACCACTTCACAATCACTCACACATATGTGCACATGCTGTCAAATGTCAACACACGTACGATGACAAGATAAGTACGCATACCCTGTCCGATCAAGTATGCTGATATAGTAGATTTCAATTGCCTATTGTCGCAAACTGTGTCAAATTTATGGAAACAGATGAGAGCCTGAAAGGCCCACAGGACAAAACGGCCACTCAAATAACGGTATCAAGAACGTAAAACGATCAAAATCGCTTTTGAAGCAACGAGTAGCAGGGTATTGGGTCTCCACTAGGTCAGACTTGCAAGTGTTATGTGCCGATAGGTTGTGTTATATACCAACTCATAGCCTCAAAGGCTATGTTACACAACTGTATTGTGACTGTGGAGACTTTTGCATGCATTGAAGAACAAAGTTCCAGTGTATGAGGGACGACATTTCATGTAACGGGATATTGAGAGGCGTAAAAAAAACACAAAACTACGAGCGCATTTCATTTTTAGCGTACAACACTTAACTATAGCTATTCACTGTATCGAACCCGGGATGGTATCTTTGCAACTGAAAAGTAAATATAAAAGTGTTACAGCTACGTGTGCAACATGAAAACAAATGAACGGATATTTCGTGATCCTATGGTGTGCAGAAAATATTTGTATGCGAAAAACATGCACGATAATAGGATTGGCTGCAAAACAACAAGCATGCCGCTTCAATGAGAAAATGAACGCTCGCACCATTATAACCATTTCCCAGTTATTGCATTTGTTACCCAACTAAGCTGCATAGCGATCCAAAGTATTATGCAGCAATTTAAAAGAAAAGGGCACCGCAAGTGCAAGGTGGAACATGCAAAAAACGCCAGCGCTGGCAAGAATGCCAGCACGACGTCACAGCGTCTCGAACCGGAAGTCGGTGCAGACGGGCGCCGTAGCCCTAAACCATTGCTTGAGCCACGATTTTGCTATCCACCTATTGTCAACATGATTACGGAATTCCTCATTTTGGCAACCTCTGTATCTTTTCTGCGGCATTATAATGTTCAACCCTGCGATATTCTAATGCCTACCCTAATCATGCACCTAAGTGTATATTTATGTTACGATAAAGCCGCAAGCCGATATAGTCCAGCAACTTTGAGATACTCTTACAAAGAGCTACATACAATATAGGCTTGAATTGCTTGTGCTACACAACGTGGTTATTAAATGCGAAGCATTTCTTAGAGAACTTCGGCGACTTTGAGCGTATCTATCTATCTATCTATCTATCTATCTATCTATCTATCTATCTATCTATCTATCTAGCCACCTACGACTTTTAGCGATCCTGACCGTTGCGATAATGGTATCAATACCAAACTTGGTATGGCATAACAAGACTGTATTTAGAACACATTTGTACTAGTCATAACATGATAATCATGACATTTATGTCATGAATGTCATGATTTACATTTAATGGTTCTGCAGCTCTTGCGGTGGTTTCGTTTACATGGCATGTTGCAAAGCTGGTACGGTATGACATTATTGCATGGCGATACAAGCAACAGACCCTAACGTGAAAATAATGACATGCATGTCATGTAGCTACATGACTACATGTCAAGCTCATGATGCACTCACGGACGTTTCGCTAGTGTCACACATACGAAATTGGGTATTAGAGTACGTTAATGATTGATGAAGGTATGTGACTGGTGCGAACATGATAATCATGAGATGCGTGTCATGTAACATCACTACATGCCCCGCTCATGATGTGCTCGGGGTCGTTTCACTCGCTTCACATATACTAAGTTTGGTATTTCGGGACGTGAATGAATGACAGAGGTATGTGACTGGTACAAACACGATAATCATCAGGTGCGTGTCATGTAACAACATCACTACATGCTACGCTCATGATGCGCTCGCGGCCGTTTCGCTAGCTTCACATGTACCAAACTCGGTATTACGCGACGCGAACGGACGACATAGGTAAATGACACACCCAAACATGATAATCACGACATGCGTGTCATGTAACAACATGACTACATGCCACACTCATGATTCGCTCGCGGTCGTTTCGCTGGTTTCACATATATGCCAAATTTGGTATTACGTGACGTCAATGAATGACAAAGGTATGTGACTGGTGGAAACATGATAATCATGAGATGCGTGTCTTGTGAGAACATGATCACTTGCCACAGTCAAGGCGCCAATAGATTTCGACGTGACGCGGTGCACGTGCTCGCCGGCGTTTATTCCGTCGCGTCACGCCGGCGTTGCCACTCCAGGCGCCGGTCCTGCCATATACTCGCAGGCGCGCGCCGCGCTACGTTGCTTTGACGCATGCGCGTTTCAGCGCGTCCGGCGTCCCTCCGTCACGAAAAGAGGGACACGCAGTGTTGTCTGGGTATAGTGCCTACAGTATACTAGGCACTGTAGTCTGGGTAACGCATCGGCATGAAACGTATAGCAAGTCGTATTTCGCGCCGGTTGCCCTCGGGCCGCGCCGAAGGACGCTGGTCGCTCCGGTCGCGCCTAGCGTCCGTCGCTGTGCCGTGTGCGCGCGCGTCAACGTAACGTTGGACTACATTGAGCCCTTCATGACGCACTCGCAGACGTTTTGCTAGCTTCGCATATACCGAATTTCGTCTTACGTGACGCCAATGCATGACGAAATATATGACAGGTGCAAACATCATAATCCTGACACGCGTGTCATGTACGAACATGACGACTTACTACACTCATAGCGTGCTCGCGGCCGTTTCGCTAACTCCACATATACAAAATTTGGTATCACGTGACGTGAATAGATGAAGGTAAATGACACGTCCAAACATGATAACCATGACACGGCACTCATGTACGGTATCATTTACCTCCACCTCGTAACGTTGCGCTGATGATGAAGTGACCCTTCTCATTCGTGCTTCGCATATAATCGATTCCCACTGTACGTAGGATCTGCCGTTTTTAGAGTTAAAAGCAGGCATAACTAGCAAACTCTTACAAACATGGCCTGAATCCTAATATTTCTTCCACTTTGCACCTGCACCAACTGTGGGCCGTCAAGCGAGCCGAGGAAGCCGCCAAGGGCGCAAAAGCCATGACCGAAGCCTTGGCAGAATCCAAGCCCATCCCACTGATTCGTATAGCCCTTTATATAGTTATTTGATCTTCTGCTGGCCTTGAACGTTCCGAAGTTATTGCACACTATCGTCGCCCCTACTGTGGTGCAAGCATGAAGGTGAACAAAACCGCCAGGGCTTCCAACTGCACGCTCTCTTGCGCTGAGAAGGAGCAAGCCTATTTAGATAGCACAGTGGGACGACGGAAGATATTTAAGCATGTTGAATGTGCCTCACATTCTGATCTGCTGTTTGTTTTATTTTTGCATTGCTTTTTGCAGAGTTTTTTTGTCATTGTATCTATTGTCACATTCTATATGATTAAAGTTAGTTGCAAGCCAACGCTAGTCCTGTTTTTTTCTACCACCCCTTATCATTTTGTGGTGTTGTACACATTAGGAACCAGTAACAACTTACCCACTTTGACGAGCTTTATAATCTCCATCATTCTGTCGATGTCATAACGCAGCTGCTTCCGGGGCCATTCTGAAAAGCAAATGTTGTGAGGCCATGGCTGTGGGCTTAGTTGGCGCAGGAAGCAACGGAAGAGTTGCTGCAGTTGCTGGCAATGATAACTCGTCAATCGCATGAAGATTCAGGGTAGTATATAAATTGTTCACTAAGTTCGGGCTCGTTATACCCTTGTTTTAGTGAAGTTTGGTACATCCGCTTTACCCAGTGCAGAGCAGTAGACTGCGTACTACCGGTTGGCATCCCTGCCTTTTCTGTATTTTTTATTATCAGGTCATTCTATTAAAATGCACCTTG